CTGTCTTTTCAAAAGACATAAAACAAATGCATCTATATTTGTTTGAAATTCCTTGTGTAAACTTAGTTTTCACAGCCATTTCTTTATATGCTTTCCCAAACTGTATTGCCTTACTGTGCTATTTAAAACAGTTTCCTTTTTAACCAGCAGTGGATTTAACGCACTAAATGCAATAACTCCCTTCTTTTTCTTGTAGTGTTTTTATTCAGAAGCAACAATTACCTTGAGTTGTTTCTTACCATGGTCTAGATATGAGCATTTCTAATGGTGTTAGCAAATATGTCTGTATGGGACTCTGTCTAATCTAATTTAACTAGAATAATATTGTCTTTGTGTATTATTTTACTGAAGTTGTGTTTGTATTGCATTAAATTATCCAGTCTTTCTTTGCTTTCCTATGCTGTAAACTTTGGAGTTGGGCATAGGTAATAAGTGCAGGGGTGGGGGGAGATCCTGATTTCAAATTGTGCTGTTAAATGGGTTTCAAACTATCTTATCAAGTTTTTAAAAACACTTGTGTTTTGGGTTATTATTGTGTCCTTGTCCTCATCTTTTCCATCTGAGGCAACATTGATAAAAAAAAATGTTGATCAGTTAAATAACCTCATACTCCAAATATGTGTATAGAGCTTCACTGGTAGCTTTTCAACAGGAAATGGAAAATCCATGAGTGTTTGTGGGAAAATAAAGGAATGGGTTAGACAGAAGAAGGGAACGCCTTACAGTATTCATTAGAATTCCTTTCATTCATTTTGCCCATCCAAGAATGGGAGGAATAGTTTCTTAATCATGCCTCCACTAAATTGAATGGTGAGGAAAATGGACAGCTAATTGTTAAGCTATATAATGAGAAAACATTGTGAATCAGCCATAGTTTAAAATGCTAATTGATCTTGTATAGTGTGCCGTGTACTGTAGCCCAGATATGCCAATAGCATGCAAAAAAACAACAACCCAGCATCCTTACATTACTTGCAAGAAGAAAATGTAGTTTCCCCTTCACGAACCGGTTTCTATTATCATTCTATGATCCCCATCTCTGTTGAACAATACAAGTTGGGATTTAAAGAGACTCCTAACTTATTCTGACTTGTCAACAGCACCACTCTGCCCTCCACCCACATGGCCAAAAAATTTGAAACTATGGTGATATTCAAAAAGAATACATTCTGTAACCTGATACGTTCTGTAACCTGAGCCGTCCCAGCCACAATCACCGTCCTAAACTCAGAGGCCCCGGTTTCTCTTTCCCATCTTCTTGTTTCTGGTGTTGATGAGCTGCGCCTGCCCCAGTGAGGTCATATAGCCCAGGTCTTGCAAGAAAACGCCATGGGCAACTTGAGAAAATAGCCTTGTGCAGCTGCTTCACAAAGGGTCAGAGTAGGTATGCTGGTTAGTACCCGGGGCCACGGAGCACAAGGCCAAAAGAGCATAGATGTTGGGAGGATCAAGGGAGTTGAAGCATTTCTACACTGTTGAGTGTGTCAGGCTGTCAAATGCCCCCAAATTGTCATTTTTGGGAAGAGTGTAATCCAGGGACTGGTCGTAAGTCCCTTCGTTCAGTGCTATACTAAATATATTTTTCAAATATCTGCTCTTTATTTTCTGGATTCCTTCAGTTTCATTTTTCTTCCTCTCTCCCAGCCGCATTTGGGTAACTGAAAGCACCAGAGTTTCAGCAATTATTTTCCTTAATTTGTTATACATTACGTGAAAACACATGTTTAATTACAAAGACTGTTATAATGCTAATAATGGCATATATTTCAGCAGTTATGTAATGTCAGATTGCATGCCCTGATTGTAGGTAATTAGGAATATATGTGAGATAGTTATGTCATGAACATGCTGTTTGTGATTTTCTTTGGTAGGTGCTTACATTGGTTACTTTTGAAGCCTTTGCCCTTTGTGTGCTAAAAATAGAAATTGTGAAAAAACTGACTTCAGATTTTAATAAGTAAATAAAATCAATCATGTCAGTAAACAAGGTTAGATAGCAACATCTGCTGTTCTTTAGTAGGTCATTTTATGCTGAAACTAGGATAATGATGTATATTTTCTCTGTGCTTAGGAAGTGTTCTCTTTTCCCTGCTTTCAGGAGAATCTACACTGCTGAAAATTAATTTTAGAAATTAATAATTTTGAGAACAAAAATTAAATACTCGTTTATAGTTTTGGTTCTTCAAATTTTATGGTCTCCCAATATGCAGACATTTACAAGCCAATGTTTGGATTCCAATAACATTTTAGGTTGGATACAATTAGAGGAGAGGGGACTAAATTCTAGAATTACCTGGCATCATTAGAGGAGAGGGGACTAAATTCTAGAATTACCTGGCATCCTTCTTGGATTTTTTATATAAAAAATCTTTCTATCTTCTTCTTCTGGACATCATCTAGGCATGTATGACCTAAAATAAGTTTTCCCGTAAACCAGACATTGGCAGAGCAACATTGTAATCCACTTTAAAATAATGTTAAGAATTACTTTAGCAATTGCCAGTAACTTTTTAGATTGCCTCATCTCATGGTGTGTATCCACAAGACCTCTGAGTAAAACTGCCCAATTTTCTGAAATTTTTATCATATGAGAATTGCCAACCCAGTCTTCATCCATTATTTGAAAGCAAATGTTGAAATTTTGTAAACGATATTTAGGACAAAATTTTAATTAACCTAAACTTTCTTTGTTCATTATGCCTTGTCTCCTCTGATATAATTCAAATGATAACAGAGTTTCTGGAAACTATAATGGCTTGGCTTGCATGGAAGATGAACATGCAATGGCTTTTTCTTATTCAAATATTAATGTTGAATGAAATGTACTGTTATTAGATCTGTTTAGTTACAACAGGAGACAGAGTTTGTCAGATGATTGACATACATCAGTGAGCCCTCACAAATTAATATTGTGTGCCTAATAATTGTCTAAGTTTTTCAGCTGCTTCTCCTGTTGTATGTGGTGAGTGATCAGTCCATGTAGCATATTAGTTGATGGATTCTAGAATCTAGCTGTTGATGGATCTCTTAAGGCATAGCCTTCATAGTCAACTATATTATACTATTGATTTTTATGTTTTAACTTGAACAATAAATAATTTTGATATTAAAGTATATGTGAGCAAAAGCAGAACTCATTTTTATGAAACCTATATCAAACAGAAATATTTTTGAGAAGAAACTTAGAGAGTAATTTTAAACAGTAATCCCATAATCAAACAATCAAACAATTGTCAGATGTTCTCCATTAATGTTTGCTATGATATACTCCCCCACCCCCATTTGTTCTTGTCTTAAATTGATGGGATGTTTAACTCTGCATAAATAATAGTCTGATGGCATTATTGCCTGGAAACTGAACTGGTGTTTCAAAATCTATACAGGTGTGTCAGAAATGTGAATGTTTAAATGAAAGCAAGTTTGTCTGCAGTACTACATACCCAGGAAATGTTAGCAAGGGCATTAAGAGGAGAATTACATGTTTTTAAATACTGCCATTTTGTATCGGAAATATGGACATATTTTTAAGCATATGAAATTATATTCCCCATGATATACAATTGCTTGGTAGCAGAAATGTGGGGTTTAACTATAGTAAACATTATTTAAATGGCAGAGGCTTGCAGTTTTATGCTAGAAATACTGAATTGACCGTTAAGAGTTATATTTTCATATCACAAAAGCTAACATTATAAGAAGCAGGAACTTTCAGCTTTGAAACTGCTTCATGTTCTGTAGAAGCAATCAAAGGAACTATAAAGTGAGTTAATGAACAAAAATAATTACTTGTTTTATAAAACAGCATCAAGGAAACATTTTATATGCCTCTTTTTTAATTTAAAATTATCACTATCTAGTAATAAATATTTATTATATTAATCGATTAGTATTTGATATATTTAATGATCTGTAGAATCTTTGTAATTATTTTCATTGTAGTCCAGTCAAAAACTTTAAGAATATTATTTCAGGTAAATTATTAGTCCTTCCTAAAGAAGCAGATCAAAGCTCTAATCAGCTTGTGACTGAAGATGACTTTTTTTACAGTAGTCCTTGTATTAAATGTTCTGGAATTCTTGTCTTTGCAACTACTGGCGTGATCTGGCCCATTTTCAGACTCAAACTTTCTTTTGCCGATTTCTCTCCTCCTCTGGAAGTTTTCTCTGTTCAATTTTTGGAGCGTTGCTTCTCAAATCTACAAAGAATGCCACTTTCCTGTACATAACTTGTTTCCAACATTCCTGTGGATTTGAAAGAATAAAAACCCTTTTAAAAAGAGCAGCATATCAGCCATTAGAGCTTATCTTGGAAATAAATTAAAATTTAATGTTGGTGATTTAACACGAAACTGAAGCAATGAAAACCACATTAAAAAGTAGTTAAGATTTATGTTTCTGGACAAATGTCTTCCTTATTCCGCAGTGCAGGGTAGTTTTGAATTACAGAAAGAAGAGAAAAAATAATGTGTGTATAGTGTGTGTTAGGAAGTGATGTGTATTGATGTGGAGATGTATTGTCTGTTCCATGAATATGTTTGACTCCAATATTCCTGAACCTGTCATCCTCTGTATGTGTTGGAATTACATCTCTCAAAATTTCTAACCAGCCCCAACATATTCAGAAGGCAACAATTTAAGGAAGACTCTGCTCGAATATGACATCTTCAAATAAATGTAGATTGCTTTTTTAGTTAATTAAATGCAAAAGACAGTCACCACATACACATGAAAGTTTTGGTGAGAAAACAAGCCATTGCAAATTACAATTTGTAGTTATCAGAATGAGCATAGATGGGAGATACTTAGAGTGGTGATTATTTTGCTGAATTCCCATTGTGGCAGTCCCAATCATTATAATGAGGCTTTATTTGTCACATGAAAAAAGTGTGAGATAAAATTTGTTTTTTCATATGATGTAGAAATAGTTTTGATATCGTGTATTAGAAAAAATGTTTACACAGATTCCAATGACTGATTTTTGTTCTTCTGTTTCCATTTTAGAAATCAGCTACATGCTATGGAGATGACATAAAGTTAAGAGAAGAGAAAGACCACTATAGTGCCAATTTTTTGGAGTCTGCTAGTAATTGCACAACAGAAGAAGACGAAATGGAAATTGAAGCCCTTGTTTCAGAACATAGAGACAGCATAGTCGGGACCTCAACATGTGCAACAGACAATCAAAGTCACTTACTTTCACCAGTTGCCAGTCACAATGGACTGAAAGAACGACATGAATCTTTGGACAGTGAGGTTGCTAAAGAGATCAGATATCTTGATGAGGTGCTAGAAGCAAATTGTTGTGATTCCGCTTCTGATAACCCCTTCAATGGGATGGCTTCCCCTTCTCCTGAGAGAAGTGTACCTGTTGTTGTGGATGCTTCTAGTCCATCTGTTCATATCACTAATGATTTCCCAGTACTCAGTGAGCGTAATGGCATTCAAGTCGGTGGACAAGCACTTCCAACCCTTGAGCACAGTGGAATTAATACAGCCTCTGGGAAACTAAAACCAAATGGCCATTTTGTAGAGATACTGCAAGAGGAACCCTGCGACACTTTGAAAGTGCCAGTGAGCCCATGCTCTTCCACAAGCTCAAGGTCTTCCAAGGATGGGGAGTTAACATTAGCTACCATTAAGAAAGAAGCCAAGTTTGAGCTTAGAGCATTTCAGGAAGACAAAAAGCCATCTAAGCTTTTTGAGGAAGAGAATCCAGGAGAGAATTACAGAGTGCGTAAAGTGAGGCCCTCCGATGAAATAATAGAATTGGAAAAGGAGAGACGAGAGCTCATCCGAAGCCAGGCTGTCAAGAAAAATCCAGAAATAGCTGCAAAGTGGTGGAATCCACCCCAAGAGAAAACATTAGAGGAACAGCTGGCTGAAGAACACTTGGAGTCTCACAAAAAGTACAAAGAACGCAAACAGAGACAACAGCAACAGCAGCAGCAACCACCATCAATGCCTGTAAAGCATGCCTCCTATTCCTATGCACCATCAGATTCAGCTGATAAAAATCAAAAACTTGATATTGTCACAGAACAAATAGATTTCTCAGCTGCTCGGAAACAATTTCAGTTAATGGAAAATTCAGATCAGCAAAACAATTCAGCTGCCCTGAAGCGATCAGGGACCCCTAAAATGTTCACTATCCAACCATTCTATAAACCAATAGGCCCACCCCAAATGGACCGGCGAACAGTCTCTGTAACAAAACCCGTTGCTGTATATGAACAAGCTGCTAATAATGAGGTATCTACTAAAAATACTGAGAAGCTGTCCTTCACCTCAGATGACAGCATTAATCAGAATACCTCTGGTGGTTCTACAGGACTGACTCCTTATGGCGACTCTACAAAGTGTGTTCAGGCCATCAAGATCTGGTCAGATGATGATGAGTTCACAAGTGCCAAAGCTGTCCTTACAGTGGTAAAGGATGATGAACAGAGTGTATTAGATCAGTTCTCAAAATCAATCAGTGTTTCTTCTCCTCCAGAAGAACTGGACTCTGGTTTAGATGAATTGTCTGTCAGATCACAGGATACAACTGTTTTGGAAACTCTTTCCAATGACTTCAGCATGGACAATATCAGCGACAGTGGTGCCTCTAATGAAACAATGAACCCCCTTCAAGAAAATTCCCTCACCGATTTCTCCTTGCCCCAGACTCCACAAGCTAACACACCTTCTGAATGTCAAGAAGTTCCAAAGTCACTTAGTGAGCACGGTTTCTATTCTCCTTCTTCACCACTAGTCAACTCTGTGCTCACTGAAGAGCAGCTGGAATATCAGGCTGATCTCCTGGTTCAAAGTGCTATTCAACAAGCCATCACTGAGCAGGCGAACAAAGTGAATTATCAGCAAGCAAAAGATATCATGGGCCAAACTAATGAGCAGGAACAAGAAGAGCTGAACAGGGCACCATATTCTGAGAACCGGCATGGCTCAACGTTTCAGCCACCTCAAGTGTCATCTCCTATGCAAGAGAAACGTGATACAACACCAAAGACATCTTCAGCTCAAGATTCTGCACTCAGGGAAAAGCAACCATCTCCTGTTGCTTACACCACCCAAGTCGTCAGTGTGGAAGAAGTCAAGCCAGAAGTCAGCTATTTTAGCAAATATTCAGAAGCAGCTGAGCTTAGAAGCACAGCTTCCATTCTGGCTATGCAAGAAACAGAGGTGACAGTAGGGCCTTTTAAATTAAGATCAAAGAAGCAGAGGACTTTGTCCATGATAGAAGAAGAAATACGTGCAGCCCAGCAGAGAGAGGAGGAATTAAAAAGACAAAGACAAGATATGCATCTAACACAGAACGCTGTCATAAAGACTGCGCCTCCACCATCCACCCGAACTACATCCTACAAAACTGCACCAGGTAAGAACTTAGCATTGAATGTCTTCTTAGCCAAAGAGATAGTTGCTTTTAAATTATTTGGGCACAAATCCTCTTGTTCCAGAATTTCTTTAACGAGTATTAATAAATGGCATATTGGATCAGATTGATAGTGGCACCTTTGTCCATAATGTTCATCAGCTGGGCATGAAAACAACTGATGTAATCTCCAGCATCTAATATAGAATAGAATTAGAATTAGAATTTTTTATTGGCCAAGTGTGATTGGACACACAAGGAATTTGTCTCCGGTGCAGAAGCTCTCAGTATACATACAAACAACAAAGTGATAGGTGATCAATCATAAATCATAGTTACAATCATTAATCATAAGATATGAATAACAAGTGAATAAATTGTAAGATACCAATAGGAGAAGATAGTAGGGAAGATGAGAAAATATGAGAAAGATAAGAAAGATGAGAAGATAAGAAGGATAATAGCAACATAGCCTACTACATGGGTAAATATCTTTGGGCCTCAGACACTGCTGTGGGAATTAGGTTTTAGCAGAGCGATGGCACGGGGAAAAATATATTTGTATCTCGTTTTGGCATGCAATGCCCTATAGCGATTTCCTGAGGGGAGAAGTTGAAATGGTTTATATCCATGATGTGAGGGGTCCATAGATATTTTCTCAGCCCTCTTTCTGGTTCGTTCAGTATGCAGGTCCTCAATGGAAGGCAGGCTGGTTGCAATTGTTTTTTCTGCAGTCCTAACTATCCATTGAAGTCTGTATCTATGTATATACAGTATATTCTACGGTATACCACGTCAGACCTTGTAGATGCCATTTATTTATTGTGACTAATAAAAGTTCTGTTATCAGACCACTTTTGTCTTTCTTGTGGCAAAGATATCCATGTTAATTATGCATTTTACAGAAATTGGGGTGGGAAGGTATAATTATTAACCAGTTTTATTCATTTACTCTGAATTTGTATGGAATTTGGATTTGGAATTTACAAAAATGCTAGAATATAGAATGTCCTACATTATTCAAACTTTAACTTAATAGAGCCATTGTGCAGCCCTCACAAGGATAGCAATTTTGGAAATAAATTTTACTGACAGCTACAAAAAGAAATGGAAATTTTAATTGGAACTGAGGCAATATTTATTGGTAGATCAAATTTCATAGTAAAAGAAACAAAATTAGCATATTATACATTTTGAGATTTGTTTTTGCAGTATTATCATCCATCTTCAGTCTTATCGAAATATGTAGGTTTGTTCAGTAGTATACATTGAATAATGTGTGTGTCTACACGTATGTCCATTTTATTGTTATGTATGTTGTAACATGTACTTCACAGTAGGAATGACATACATTTATGGTAAAAAGTAGAGCAGTTGGCAGATACAATGGTAGATTTGTGGGACTAGGAGACAATGGAAATTTGTTCTAGCAAAATGCTGCACATCAAAAACCAACGTAGAATGTAAGTTTTAATGGGTAACTGGAGAAATGTTAAATGTCAAGCCTATTAATATTCATATTCAATTTCCTTGAAGCCTGTAGTCAAATGGGTTAGAGACAGTCAGTGATCAAGGGCAATGGCCAATGGGCAGGGCACAGCTATCTATTGGAACCAAAATGGAAAACACAATCTTGAGTGATTTTTGAAACATGCCTAAAATGAACTAGGTTTTATATTCTGTAAAAGTGGCCTTTGCACATTGAAGATTATGCTTTTCATAAGCATTACACTCCGAGTCCAAAAACTGTCTTAAACTCGCAGTGTCCGAGGTGATCTACAAGGGAGCCTCTCAGAGTTCCCTAAGAAAGGAATTTTATGGAGTCAGCCTTCTGAGCAGGTAATCCTCGACTTACAACAATTCATTTAGCGACTGAAGTTACAACAGCACTGAAAAAAGTGACTTAAGACCATTGTTCACACTTAAGACCATTGCAGCATCCCCATGGTCATGTGATTTATATTCGCATGCTTGACAACTGACTCACATTTATGACGGTTGCAGTGCCTTGAGGCCCTCTGATCACCTTGTGCAACCTTCTGATGAGCAAAGTGAAATCAAACTCACTTAACAGCCATGGTACTAATTTAACAACTGCAGTGATTCAGTTAACAAATGTGACAAGGAAAGTCATAAAATGGGGCAAAACCCATTTAACAAATTTCTCACTTAGCAACATAAATTTTGGGCTCAATTATGGTCATAAATCGAGGACTAATTATAGTGTGTGACTAGTTAGCCAATAGAAATGATGAAATTGCAAACAGCCTCATCTGGCAGTCTTATGGTACAAGTAAGGAGACGCAGTAAGGTAGAACATATAAATGGGAGGTAAAGAATTGTCTAACTTTGCATCTATTTTTACTTTCTATTCCAAGGTATTGCTCAATTTTGTTGACGCTAGTGAGATCAGGATGTATTTAATCTTAATTTTGGATTCTTTCCCATGTAGCATATAATAAATGAAACAGAAAAATAGTGCCGTGATATAGCTCCATGAGCATTAGCTATGAGGCATGGGAAGTTCCTTTGCATGATTTTGAAGCTAATATCATCTGCTAGAAGAATTCTTCAGAAACAGGAACTGCAAGTATTTGCTTTGCAAACAATCTCAGTTCCGTTTCCAAATAAATTGGCTGCATTTTAATCACAGCAGTTCTGGGAAAGCAGCTGGATTCATCTTCACTAAGCTTGTGCTACTATTGTTCCTTAGAACAAATAAATATTCTCAATGTCTCTCACAAAATCTGAAGGGGAAAAGCCAGAATGTTGGTTAATAAATTACCACATTTTTATTTACTGGTAGGATTAACAAGGGGACATATTACTTTGCTAGGATTTAAATGTGTAGCTGAGTCAGTATTTTTGGACATCCTGAAAAACTTTGTGCACTTCAAGGGTGAACACTGATAAATATCAATATACAATTGGAAAGGAAACTTGGATTGCTCATACACCCAGATATGGAAGATCACAGTGGCCTACGTAAAATATGACATAAAAGAGGAAAACAAAGTAACAAATATGATGATGATGCATCTATGTGTTATAATCACAAAGCTCTGTGTTGTGAGAGTTTATAGAAAAAAGAAAGGATCCTGCATTACTTCTATAAGGTCTGTGTATGTGTTGGAGGCTAAATGACTCTTACTATGTAGGCTATTTACAAATTCCTTCTACATTCTTGTTTTGAGACCTGAACCTGGAAATATAAATATGTTTAACAATAGATTATTGACTTCTCACTGAAACTGGGTTCTCCTCTTTTGTTTAGGGAGCATAAGTCTACCAAACATAACATATTTGAAAATCAGTATTTCTGATTTGATTTTTTTCATTTAGACAGAAACATTAAAAAAACAGGCAAAATAGAGATAAGGTCTGATATGAGAAGATTGATACAACTTTGAATTTTCCATGAAAGTCCCATAATAAACAAGATTAATTTTATGCCAAAAGTCCCAATTGGAATCGTATGTTCTCTTTAAGATTTATATTTTCTTCTTGTTGAGTTACAATGAAATAGTATCTTTTCTAGCTCCTTGGTTTATAAACATGTACTCTCAATTTTTATGGGGAGAACTAAGTCAATTTTTGAAAATGATGGGAAAAATAATATCTGTGTGGGTCTAAAACTAATTGAAATAAATTAGTTTTGTCTAATTAATAGGAATTTAATATCTGCAGATAGTAGTGTAGATACTAACTTTTTCTAGTATTCATCCCACTTACCTTTATGCCAGTTGCGTGCCTGTCTGTTCTGACCTAGGCTTCACAAAATCATGAAACAGACTCCTTGTCCCAACCAAACCCCTTTTATTTGGCTAATGTGAATTCCTATCGTTCACATCCAGCAAAGTACCTGCAAACAGTCTTTCAAGGGTGAATTGCAACCACAGACATTATCAGGCTTGGAGAGTTATTGTACCAATAGCTTCCAAGCACAACGCTGTACAAATACTTGGCGAGGAGTCTCTGTGAGTCACGAACTCACATAAACAAATCTTCACACTCATTAAACAAACTAATTGTCTCTTGCAAACACCACTCCCCTTTCGCTCCTATTTATTCCCTGTGGGAGGGGCCATTCACTGTCCACGTGTGCTTTTACTCCCAAGTCAACCCTTGTTCCTAAACTGTTCCCTTCTCCTAACAGCTCTGCGCATGCACACATCAGGAACAGGCTCCAGCTGTTCTTCTGCCCCACTGATCTCCGACTCTGAAGGTAGATGATAACTGTCAGACGGCTCTGGCCCCATTTCTGCCTCTGGCGCAGACCACTCATCAGAGCTTTTCCCAGACTCTAGGACTGGCCCATGTTCTTCCCCAACCTCCTCACTGTCTGAATCTGCCTCCAGCTCCACTGGCTGCTGGAGGGCCACAACACTGTCCTCTTCCGATGTTGATCATAATACTTTTTCAGAAGTCTAAATGTGTCCGTGAGAAATCCAGTAGTAGATTTTATCTTAAACTGGACCTATTCTAGTTAGCTAGAGCTTGACATAAAAATAAAAAAAAAACAGTATCAGTTGAGGGCCAGGTCTTTCCACATCCGCTAATCTTGCATTATTTCGGAAGATGTGGAAAGATCTGGCCCATAGAATTGCCAAGAGTTGGGACTTGACTGAATAGATAACATCCAGTTCTGCAAATGTGAAGCCTGCTATAAAAACAGGGAACAGGAATGTGTATACCGTATCACTGAACATTTCTAGAAATCATTACAAGAGGAACTCTGAATTTCAAGCTTTGATATTAATGGTAAGGAGAATTGCCTGATGAAGAACAATAGGTAGCTCAAACATATTGGATATTTTAGACTCAATATTATGTCAATACTGACCGTTTTGATTACTCTTTCTTTAATTTCCCAATGCTTGATTCATGTTGGACCACATATTTATATTATACTCTTCATGCTATCACAGCCACCCACATATCTTTTCCACTTAATGTTTGAGATTAAGAGACCCGTATTTTGTTCTGCACAGGTCTTTCCACAG